GAGGTGTAGAGGTGTAGAGGTGAGGTGTAGAGGTGAGGTGTAGAGGTGTAGAGGTGTAGAGGGTGTAGAGGTGTAGAGGGTGTAGAGGTGAGGTGTAGAGGTGAGGTGTAGAGGTGAGGTGGAGGTGAGGTGTAGAGGTGAGGTGTAGAGGGTGTAGAGGTGAGGTGTAGAGGTGAGGTGTAGAGGGTGTAGAGGTATAGAGGGTGTAGAGGGTGTAGAGGTGAGGTGTAGAGGTGTAGAGGGTGTAGAGGTGAGGTGTAGAGGTGTAGAGGTGAGGTGTAGAGGTTAGGTGTAGAGGTGTATAGGTGTAAAGGGTGTAGAGGTTGTAGAGGTGTAGAGGTGAGGTGTAGAGGTGAGGTGTATAGGTGTAGAGGGTGTAGAGGTTGTAGAGGTAAGGATGAATAGCTTTGTAATATATCATTATGCATGTATTTCTTTATTGTGTCTACAGTTGAGTGTTTATTTGTCAGATCTTCGGGCCTGTACTGGTGGTGCTTCCATTCAGGACAACCAAGGAGGCCATTAACCTGGCCAACAACACAATCTACGGTTTGGCAGGCAGTGTGTGGACAGAGAATATATCACTTGCCATGGAGGTGGCACTTAGTATCAAGGCCGGCACTATCTGGATCAATGGCCACAACCTGTTTGATGCTGCTGCTGGGTTTGGGGGCTATAGACAAAGTGGTTATGGACGCGACGGTGGCAAGGAGGTAACTTTTAAACAGTTTATTAGATGTAATTTTACACAAGGTATTGTGCTTTGATGTGACACCAACTTGTCAGTTATTTATGTCGACATTGAACTGAAAGATGTCAACATTTGGTCTAGAAACTGGAAGAAACCGTCCTGAAACCCCAGCATGTGTGTTCTTAGCAGGCATCAGCTCTTAATTCAGGACTCTTTCGTCCAGTTTTCAGATCAGATGTCGACATCTTTTAGTCGACATAATTAACTGACAAGTTGATGTATCACCCCAGCACAAACACTAGATAAAGCCGAGTTTCCGACTTAGTAGATCATTATTTTAAATTCATTATATCGAAAAGTAAATAGCAAGTGGACATATTCTTCAAGAGTTCATGTTGACATCTTCTTTTGTGTTGTCGACATAAATAAGGGATTATGTCTACATCATTCAGTCGTAAGTTGACAACTTGATGGCAGAAATATACCACCATAAAGCTGTTTCCTTTCCTCCTCTTAATAAGGAACTCATTACGTCCTCAGTGCTTCAGTGACCGTGTAAAAGAAAGACCTTTAATGAAGCAGTTTGTCATAGCCTGTTGTTTGTGCACTGTTGCTATGCAATGAACTGTCATGCATTTCCAGTGGGTATGGCTTCATATTTTGGGAAAAGTATTAAAGAAATGATCTGACCTGTACGTTTTTTTGACAGAAAATATTTTTTTAAATCTTGTTAAATTTAAATATATTGTGTATAAAGAGAACAAAGAAAAATAAATTAGGAATATGTACACCTTTAATTTTACTGCCTACTACAAGCAGTAATAGCAAATGTTTCCTTTTCTGTAGGGTCTGTATGAATATGCTCGACCCTCCTGGGAAGATAGACCACGCCCTCCAAAAATCAGCCTTGATATTAAAAAGTTTGGCCTGACTGTGGCCCAGCGACCTACCATAGGAGAGGGCCAGCAGTCTAATATCAAAGTGGATGGGGCCAACGTACCAGGGTTAGTACTGTTGTTGGATACTTAAACAAAACAATTAACATGAAGATAAGACTGTCACATATAAAGCATGCGGTGTTCTGATAGGAGCTTTGCATTTTTCATGTCTATTGAAGTAGCATACGAAATATTTAGAGTAAATGCAGCTTGGGAATTTTAGATTTACATTGAATCCATAGGAGAATAAGGTTTGGAATAGTTACATTTACAGATAACTCAGAAGCATGCTGTTAAAACTGTCTGTGAAGCATATGTTTAATGTTCATGATATATGTCTTTTGCTTTGATTTAATATCTGTACAAAAACATTACATTAAAGTCTATTATAGTTTAAAAAAGAAAGCACAAATTCAGAACAGATCTCTGAAAATTGCAGCACCTTATTAGTAAAGCTGTATAAATAATGGACGTCAATGGTAAGTGTGGGGTTATTCAGTGGGAGAAATCATTAACGGGTCCATAGTACTGACTAACCACTGCTACTGGCACTGTACAATACAATCAAAAGTGCAGTATCTATTGATATTTAAAATGTCGGCATTGATTACAGAATAGATCGGACATACAAGATGTACTATGGTGGTGCACAGAAACGACCTGATGCTCCGTATTCAAGGCCAGTGATTGGTTCTGATGGAAAGGTTGTAGGTCATGTTGGAGAGGGTAACAGGAAGGATGTGAGAAACGCGGTGGAGGCAGCTCATGCAGCATTCCCTGGGTTTGTATAGTAATATAGAGATTTATTGGGTTTGTATAGTAATATAGAGATTTATTGGGTGTGTATAGTAATATAGAGATTTATTGGGTTTGTATAGTAATGTAGAGATTTATTGGGTTTGTATAGTAATATAGGGATTTATTGGGTTTGTATAGTAATATAGAGATTTCCTGGGTTTGTATAGTAATATAGAGATTTATTGGGTTTGTATAGTAATATAGAGATTCCCTGGGTTTCTATAGTAATATAGAGATTTATTGGGTTTGTATAGTAATATAGAGATTTATTGGGTTTGTATAGTAATATAGAGATTTATTGGGTTTGTATAGTGATGCATGCATTTCCAGAGTTAGGTAAAACACACAGTTCCTTGGTTAAATAATACATACAATTCATGGGTTATGTAATACATACATTTCTTGGTTTAAGTAATTCATACATTTCTTGGTTTAAATAATTCATACATTTCTTGGTTTAAGTGATTCATATACATCCTGGGTTAAGTAATTCATACATTTCCTGGGTTATGTAATACATACATTTCTTGGCTTAAGTCACACATTTCTTGGTTTAAGTAATTCATACATTTCTTGGTTTAAGTAATTCATACATTTCTTGGTTTAAGTAATTCATACATTTCCTGGGTTAAGTAGTTCTTACATTTCCTGGGTTAAGTAATTCATACATTTCTCGGGCTAAGTAATACATACATTTCTTGATTTAAGTAATTCATACATTTCTTGGTTTAAGTAATTCATACATTTCTTGGTTTAAGTAATTCATACATTTCTTGGGTTAAGTAATTCATACATTTCTTGGTTTAAATAATTCATACATTTCTTGGTTTAAGTAATAAATATATTCTTAGGTTGGGTAACACATATATTTTCTGGGTTAAGTAACACATATGTATATCTCAAATATGTCTGAGGCTTCAAAAGCAAAATAAAAGTTTTGCTTCATGAAAGTAAAATCCAAATATAGACTACCTGTTCTCTAGTTGAATTGCTTTTGTAAATAATAGATTCTGCGATACTAAAAGACACAGATCATAAATATATTGAATTTCTAATTTTGTTTCCAGTTGGGGTAAGAGGGCAGCACACAACAGAGCACAGATTACCTACTTTATGGCGGAGAACCTGGAGCTGAGGAGGGATGAGGTGGCTACAAGGATCAACCAGATGACCGGACGTACCATGGACGACTGTCGCAATGAAGTTGACCTGTCTGTGAAACGTCTGTTCCACTGGGGCGCCTACTGTGATAAGTATGGCGGAACAGTACAGGTACGTATCCTTTACTACATGTATCTATCAGTGATTTGTTCTTGACTTGTGGCAGATTTGGTGTATACAAACTTAATCAGATTGTCATTATTTTGTAATTGAATAGTTCATTGTTTTATGTTTGAATATTTCAAAGTTTTTCAATAATGGTTTGTTTCATAAGAATGAATATGTGTTTCAGAATTTAAGATTACCAACTGCCTGTTCTTATTGAAGTAAATAATAAATCAATGTATGGTGGCATCTAAATTTTAATGATGGAAATTAATATGAATTTGTAAGTGATGCATCTATTCAAAAGTTGGATCAGGTTTCATAACAAATATTATGTTTACAGTAACAAATAACAAGATATGTGTGATAACTGTCTTCAATGTCGGAAAAATGGCTATTGGGGCTAAACTCAATATTTATCGTACCACTCCTTTGAAATTCTTATGGCTGTAATCTTTCTGTACAGCTGATGAAGCATAATAGTTACATGCTTTGTTTATCATTTGAATCAACCTACAGAAGATTGACTAATACATGATTGCTTTTAACCTTGAACAGGAGACAACCCTTTATGGTGCTACAGTAAAGGTGCATGAACCTGTGGGTGTGATTGGGATCGCCTGTCCAGAAGACTACCCTCTGCTTGGTTTTGTGTCCTTATTTGCCCCTGCTGTTGTCAGGGGTAACACAATCATCATCATCCCCAGTCAGAAGTATCCCATTTCTGCCCTCGATCTCTACCAGGTACTTAGACTAATAATCTACTAAATATACTTAATATCTATTTCATTTTTCAGGACAAGGCAAAATTATTAAGTAATAATAAATCAAGTCAAACCTATCCTATATATATCCTATTAGTTTTATATTCCAGCTTCTGTTTTTCAGGCAGATGTTCATTTAGATATGAACCCTTGTTACTTTTCAGGTATTTGACACATCAGATCTGCCTGGTGGTGTGGTGAACATACTGACTGGAGACAGAGACCACCTGTCCAAGTACCTAACCGAGCATCAGGATGTCCAGGCCATGTGGTACTTTGGCAGTGCCGAAGGGGCAGCGTTCGTAGAATACACATCAGCCGAGAATGTAAAGAGGACGTGGGTGAATTATGGGCTAGACCGGGACTGGAAGGACTCTGAACAAGGAGAGGGTGAAGAGTTCCTATACCATTCTGTGCAGTGTAAGAACATCTGGATTCCAATGGGTGACACGTTCGCTAACTAGAGTGGACGAGATGTGTGTGAAGAAAACAGAGATAGAGAGGAAAAACGGTTCTTATATTCATCCAAAGTGCTAGTCTTATTAATACGAAAGATAATTGTGTAGAGAAAATATGCATGACTAAAAAACTTTGTATTTTGTGTTCTGAAGAGTACCTCATTGCAACATCACTTGTGTAGATATATGTATGTCTGCCTTAAAACTAATTGCAGTTTGGTGCAAAAGCAAAATAAAAAAATGTGATTGTTCATTGATGTTAATATAGAAAAAGACGAGACAAATGATGAAGAGCTACAAGTTCTCCGGTTAGATTTATATGTGGGTCTGCTGGTACCTTAAACAGTCACATGGATCAGCTCATGTCATTGCTTTGTTATAAAACCTTAAAAGAGGTATGCTGAAATACTGGTATTAAAGAACAATGATACCAGATAACTTTAATGAACTTATGTGTTAAAGTGTTAAAAATGAACTTATGTGTTAAAGTGTTAAAAGGTTGCCCCGTAGCAACAGTCATCAGATGTTCCAATCCATTGTGTGTTCTGGGACTAACCCTTTGTCTTTATATTGTATATGACCTTATAAGGACACATAACTTAAACGCCTAAACAATCAGTAGAAAAGGCATGGTACGGTGTATATGGGCAAGGTAAAGCTGATGGTGAGTCATAGTGTCAAGGTCAAGCTTATGGTGAGTCATAGTGTGAAGGTCAAGTGTCAAAAGAAATAGAAAATGAAGCATTAGAATTGTTGCACCATCTGATTTTCGGTGTGGCTGCCAGATTTTGAAACAAACATTGACACAGTTTTCATATCCATGAAAATGTGTGCTTATCTGTTAACTCTGGTAAAGATATGGTCAAAGATCACCAATATGCAGGGCTTTGTTTCCTTAAAAGAAATGTAAGTGATATCCAAACCAGCTATCCTTAATATTCACTTTGTTCTGTACATCATTATTTCTTGATAACATGAATGCATTTTCAAAGTTGTTGCCTTCATATTGCTTTGAAACATGTTTATTTTATATACTCAAGTAAGAACCTATTTAATCAATCACTTTAAAAGATGTTAGACAGAATCTCAAGTATATATAATCTATAAACCTTCACTTTATGTTTTATGTACTTTACATACATGTATACAGATTGAATGCTAGTCATCCTTTGTTAACAGGAATACTCGAGGGTTTTTTCCAGCAGGAATGCTCGAGGGTTTTTTCCAGCAGGAATACTCGAGGGTTTTTTCCAGCAGGAATACTCGAGGGTTTTTTCCACGCACAAAATAAAAGATTTGTTTGTTCTTATTTTCTAAGAGTAATTAGGTACAATATATCTCTTACTTTATAACGTTCTGTCCATGTGATATAGACAAAGTACTTCTAGTGATATAGACAAAGTACTTCTAGTGGTTAAGAGTCATGCATACCTGGTATGTCATAAAATGATCAAAACTTTAATAAGTTGAACAATGTTTTTTAAAACTTTATCAGATTTAGCAATACACATGAAGTATGATGCAAATTTGGTGCATACAGGATTTTGAATAAATGTTATTTTTCGAGTTGATTGATAATCCTAGATATCTACCCTGTTTTCTCATTGCCCGTCTCAGAGACAATCCTCAAAATCCAGCTAACCTTTGTCATTGCCCTGACCAAATATTGTTATTGCAATTGTTTGGATCAAGAAGAAATGTGCTATCTTATATCAGCAGAAACACTTTCTTGTCCAGTTAACCCTTTCAACCCTATGTAACTTTAATAAACTCAAACACGCATTGATCTGGATGAGTTCATTATGGCGTGTAGTGTGAAAGGGTGAAGATAATAATGATCAATAGATGAGTGATACAGGACTCGTTGGACTATTACTTCCTGGTTTTAAGTGCTAGTACACTAAGTGTATTGTTATACGCCCGACTTGGACGACGGGTATTATGGTATGGGCTGTGTTGTCTCCCCGTCCATGTAATGCATCTTGTATGCTGTGATATCACAGGAATGATTCAGTATAATGTACTGGATGTCAATCAACAAATTGTTATCTGCTTAAAAAGTGTCCATAAATCTAAGGAATATTTGTTTACTGAAAAATAAAATACCAGAGCAAGACATAATTTATGAACGGCCTTTAATAAGTTTATCTGAAAATTAATTTCGGGGTAATGTTATGACCCTACCACACATAAATTGTATCTTACAATGTCCCATCTTTAAGTATTACACTAAAGTTAAGTTTTCTTATGTATTAAAATTTTAGCAGGTTTTATTGTTTCTTTTTGTGTTATTTGCACTGTAATCCATCCTGAATCTTTTTATTGTATTCTTTTTAGTATTAAAATTGTATTCCGACAATTTAAATTGTTGAAATAATCTTTCATGTGTAGTAATAATTATTTATCTTAGAGGTTCCCTATATATTACATTCACTTGATAATGTTACCGATAATGTATATACGGGTGTCTACTTTTAACTATTACTTTCAGTTTAAAGCTTGGAAGAAGGCCTTGAAGGTCAAATTTCACCAGCTGTATCAGTCCACAAAGTCTGACCCTGTTTACACTGTTCCTACATATCCTGGGTCTATGCCTGTTATTTGTACATAAGTGGTTTGTAGAATGTGCTATATATGCATTATGAATAAAGACAATTATTTTGTATCATTTTGTAAATTGATCAAAATGTTTTAAATAACATTTAATAGCTGTAATTCAAACTTGTAATTTCATGATAGTCATGTTGATATGTTAAGGAGTTATTTTGGGCAAAACTCGGGAGAAAAATTAGGTTTCAGTTTGACATTATAGAATAATTGTAGCAGCAGCTGTTTACTTTATCCAGTATCCGATACATGTTTGGTCCAGAAAAGAAACTAGGTTGTTTTAATGAGAATTATCTAAACATTTAAAAAAAAAAGACAAAGACACTAATAATGATAAGAAAAAAGCAATCTGGAATGCCAGTTTGAATCATGCCTTTGAGACATTCAAGATTGAACATTAAAACCAATTATGTGATTATCCTGAACTTTGAGTGGATTCAGTAAATGTTTATATCCTTAGAAATATGAGTAAAGTTATGTAACTTTGATATTTGCTGTGTTCTATCTTTTTTTTAGTTCGAAGGCCAAGTGAGCTTATGCCGTGGTGCAGCGTTCGTCGTCAAGCGTCAATATTTTACTTTAAACAACTTTTTCTTAATAGCCAAAAGGCCTAGGGTGATGATATTTGTCCAGTAGCATGCTGGGATAAAGGGCTACCAAATTTGTTCAAATGAATGACCTTCATTTCTATTCAAGGTCACAGGGGTCAAATATGTTAAAATCTTTAAACAACTTCTGAATAACAAAAATGCCCAGGGTGATGATATTTGGCCAGTAGCATGCTGGGAGGAATTGCTACAAAGTTTGTTCAGATGAATGACCTTCACTCATATTCAAGGTCACCTGAGTCAAATATGATAAAATCTTTAACAACTTGTTTTGAATACCCAAAAGATCTAGGGTGATAATATTTGGCCAGTTGCATGCTGGGATGAATGATCTTCACTCATATTCAAGGTCACAGGGGTCAAATATGTGTAATATCTTTAAATAACTTCTGAAGAATAACCATGAGGCCCACAATGTTGATATTTGGATGAAGGGCTATCAAGTCATTTGAGTGACCTTGACCCACTTTCAAGGTCACATTTGGTCAGATATGTAAAATCACCTAGTTATCTCATTAAACAAAAGATCTAGGGTGGTGATATTTGGCAAGTTGAATGCTGAAAGTTGAAAGTTTGTTCAACATGATGACCTTGTTCGTAAATCAAGGTCACAGGGGCCATATGATTTAATATTTGAACAGGTTGTTTTGAATGACTTCTAGTCATAAACACTGATATTTTGCCTGTAGCTTTATTTTAGATCACTTTTTAGGTTACAAGTGTGAGATTAATACCAGGTGAGCAATGCAGGCCCATATGGGCCTCGATCTTGTTTACACTCCCTAACAAAAATATTTTGGGGAGCAGCTTCCATACTTCCGTCCGTCCAACATATATATACTGATAAAAAAACACTTAGCAGTGTTCCAAGAACAAGATAACAGGTGCAGACCAGAGCATTTCTGAACATAAATTCATAGGCATAAAAACATGTATGTTACACATACCGTTTTTAAATTGTGTGCTGCAGGGTCACCATCACACTTCAAGGTTATAAGTGTTCTTGCTTGATATTGCTTTTAAGAATTTATTAAGTCTTTACATCTATAACTAATCACATACAGATGAAGAGTGTTTGTAAACTGTAAACAAGTTATAGATACAGATGCACTGCATTTTTATGCCCCCGCCATAAAATGGAGGGGGCATATAGTGTTGCCCATGTCCGTCGCGTCCCGTCAGTCCCGATTGAATGTAAACACTTAGCAACAGATATTTGTCAAACTTTATACAAAGGTCAAATATGGGTATACCTCTGACATCCTTGTGTTTCAGGGTTCCAAGGTAAAGGCCAAGGTCACTTGCTATATATAGAAAATCATCAACTGATTCAATTTAAACACAGTAGCAACTTTATTCTTTCACACTTTATATAAAGGTCAAGTATGGATATACCTCTGACATCCTTTTGTTTCAGGATTCTAATAACATACAGAAAAAAACATATGAATATTAAAATCAACTTATCAACTTTAAGTGCAGTACCTTGTGTGTGCATGTTTCAGGGTATCAAGATCAAAGTGGTTGTAACTTTTTATAGAACACTGAAACTAATTTCACATGGCAGCAGGGGCATTTATGTCTTACAGACATTTTCTAAAAAAAAATCAAAATTACAATATATATACATTTACATAACAGTTTTGGATAGCAGAGGGAATAAATTCTCATCAGCTATAAAGCTTTTTACTCAAGACTGTGAAACAGTATTAATAAACCTGACAGACCCAGGAAAGAAAGGGTACCAGTAAGAGCTAACCAGCTGGCCTCATGAAGAATCGCTTGAGTTGGAAAGGTAATGCACTGGGCAAATTGTCAGAACAGGAACAGTTAAGCATAGAGGTCACCCATTTTTTTTATTTTTTTTTAATATTCGCAACATATACATGTTCCCTGCCAAATGTATTTCTTATAAAAAACGGATAGCGTAGAAATGATACCAACTTGATACTTTTATACTAAAAGCTCTTCTTTATGTGTTTAAAGTGTTATAGATGGACCTTTTATGAAGGTGAGTTTCTTTTTGCTAAAATGTGCAAATAAGCAGCTCCCCCAGATCACTGCCCTTTTCTTTTGCGTGTTCCGTGCTCTAACTTACTCATGGATATTAAAGTGCGATGGTCATAATAATATTTCAGTACTCACATACTGTTCTATAAGGAGATTGTCCAAATGTGTAGGACATTTATGTTAGTGTGCATGAAGTGTTGCAACCATTTGATTGTGAAAAATGCCATCTTAAAGTTACTCTTAAATCTGCTAAATTACTTTGTAAATTATTTTGTAATGAAGGTGACCTGAATTTGAAAATCATCTGTTCATATTTTGAAATATTTTAACAGCAAGAGTAACCAAGCAACACTATGTTAAGCTATTTGCTATATTTAGTATAATCATTTGGGACACAAATATCGATTTTTTTTTCATTGGAGATGTTAAAATAAATCCTTCAGAATATGACTTTCCGGAATCAGTCGTCCGGAACTTCAGTTCTTTTTTACTCTTCACAACGTTCGGATTGTCTCGGACTGTATCATATGAAATACCCGCCAATAACACGCACGGAATAAACAGCACACTTCGCGCTAACCCACTGGAAAGGTAAGATCATATCAAGAAAGAAACCCTAAAAAAGTAATGTAGTTAACGTTCTAAGGATCACAAGATGTAGTGATATCATCTTGTTTAGTTTTTCTCTTCTTCAATAAGTATCAGATTGGAAATTATCATTCAAAATTCATGTATAATCTTGGACGGGCACGTGGTGGCGATCAGCTGTTTTTGGAGGTTAAAAATCTTCATTCTTTACAGCACTGATCGTGTTTAATATTTTCTTCAATAATTTTTTGTAGAGTTCATTATAATTATTTCTGACATGTCGCAACGAATCCCTTAACAATAAAATGGCAAGTGACATCGGCGCTGAAACAAATAGAGGATAGGTCTAAAAACGAATGAAAAAAAAAAAATTGGAACTAAACCTAATCATATCAGGTCCAGTACACTCTGCCGATTGGGCTATATAGCTATAAAGACCTATATAGCTATATACACCTATAAATTATAGCTGTATTGAGCTATATTTCCTCAGATTTCAAATTTCATTAAATTAAAGCAAAGTCGCATAAAACAATAAGGTTTATGGTAATGTTGACTACAAAAAGCATACATTTAGATATTTATTTTCATTTTTCATAAATGTAAAATTTCCGATTTTTTTACATCATTATTTTTTAAAAAGAATACCCATATTTAATGTCTTTTGTTATCAACTTAATGATACAATCTTTTAAAAGCGACTTTGTTTCGTTTTCCTTAAAAAAGAAAATCACTTTAAAATAGCTCAAAAGACCTATTTCAGATAGGTCAATAGAGCTAATATAGGTCTTTACAGCTATATAGCTCAATCGGCAGAGTGTACTGGACCTGCATATGTGTGTTATTTTTATCTGGAAGGAACACAAAAAGTTGACATTTCATCTAAACATGATATATATAATGATGCGTGTTGGAGATTTATTGCATTTAGCTCTGAGCGCCGTTATTGTTGAAGACGTTTTCGTCTAAATGATGATGGGGCCAGAGCTCAATACTATATGAAAACATGGAGTTCTCCTACACCATAGTTGTCGTTAAACGTCAATCGGAAGCTTGAGCTTGTAAAGACGTCTAAATATCCTCTTCCGACTTGATACGTTGCTGGCAAAATAGCCTGCCATCAACGGACTTTGGTTGTGCAGGGATAAAACTATTTACACTATATACCAATTGGTATCAGAAAGTTTTGAGGTGCTGACAACAAAAATCTATGATGACAAAACACATACCTCACAGATATTAATAAAAGGGATATTCATTGATCTCACCAACAGCTCATCCACTAAGTTTAGCTACTCCCTGCACAATCAAGTTTTGGAAAATTTAGACTCTAGCAAATACCTAGGGCAGTAGGGGTCACTTTCACCTCAGACCTAAATTGGGATAAACACATACAATCCATCACCAACAAGGAAAATAGGACACTGGGATTTCTGCGTCGCAACATGTCATCATGCACCAGAAAAGTCAAAACCCAGACATTCACCACACTAGAAAGACCATCACTAGAATATGCAGCCACTTGCTGGGACCCTTTTATTTCAGACCATGTCGACGTCCTAGCAATTGAAAATGTATTGCATAGGGCTGCCAGATACATATTTAATGATCATAGATCTAGAGAGCCTGGATGTGTCACCAACATGATAAATATACTTGTTTAACTGGGAGCCCCTAGCCCAGCGAAGAACAAAAGCCAGGCTCATGATGTTTAATATATAAAATGATAAACGGACATGTGGCTATTGATCCATCCCAATTCATAACATCAGGCGACACGAGAACCAGAGGGGCCCACAGAATTAATCAAATATCAACCCACACAAATTTGTACAAATATTAATTCTTCCCTAGAACTATTGTTAACTGGAATTCGCTACCATCATCCTATAGCACAGGAGCCAAACCTGAACTCTTTCAGGTCTGCCCTGGCTAGTTTCAACCTTCCATAAAGTGTTTTCTGTTTTTATCTTACAGTACAAATTAACAAAAATAATTGTTTTTAACATTTTTAATGCCACCTCCCAGGATTAAGTGCACTTAAACCTTTGAGTCTGATATCGATCCTTGTCAAGGAAGAAGAAGAAGCTGCTACATTTTGTCTGTAGAGTCCGAAGATTTCAATTGTTCAAAATAAATTTCCCACATGAACAACCCCATTTTGAAGGTTAGGTATAGACTAATCGTTCAGATACGTTGTGAAATGCAAACGGCACTCTACAGGGATTCAAAAAATTCTAAGGTTAATGTCACTGTTACTAAAAATAGGCAGTGGGGGTACCGTCTTGATCTTGGAATCAAACAGACTTGTCTTTTAGAGTAAGAACTAATTATATATGGGTGTTAAGGGTCATTTCTGGTCTCATCAAGGATTTAGGATTATAGTTATTATTTTCTTGATCCGACAATTGGTATAGGAAATATGGCACAACAAAGAGAGGTATTATTAAACCCGCATTTTTCATAGTAAATTGATTAAATACTGTCTGTTGTGTGGTATTTATGTTAAAAAAATGCCATTTTAAAGCAAGTTAATTAAACCCTCTTCAATTTAAAAAAAACCCTCTGCATGCAGCAAATAAGGGTTTGACATGCTAAAACATTGTCATACAGTGTTCTTTCTTGGAAGGAAGTTTTGTTTGTCACATGTGGAGGCTTTCATTCTGCATGCTTACCATCCAAAAACACCATACTTTGGCTATATCAACACATATGATGTTTATAACAGAAATTGGTTACTTAATTCAAGTTGAAATTTTTACCTTTTATGAGACAAATAAAAACTGCCTCAATTACACTGATTTGTAAATGTGCAATACTGATTCAAAACGTTTCTAAGGACATTATTACTGTTACTAAAAATAGGCCATGGGGGTGGAGCACAGTCATGCACATGGTGGGCCCTTGTCGACCTGTCAGTTTTTAGTTGTCTCATGTACAGGTGAAATGTTTTCAACACCACTGATCATGACCTGTGACCAGTATCTGGCGACTGCCCCTCGTAGGCTCAAAACAGACCCATTGGTGGAGGGCTAGTGATCGTAGACGGTCAGATGAAAGAACATTGCACATCCTTAAACTACTTTCAATACAGCACTGTGACCATCTTAGTAGGGGAGATAATGGCAATACCTGTGAATGATTAGAGAATCGATTCCCATGGTCTGTTAAGGAGAGAAATTCATTGCAACATCAACAGGCTTTATAACATAAACCACTTTAACAGCAAGAATGAAACCTATTCAGCTCACTCTCCCACTCAGAAGTAAATACTCAGAATTAAATGAGAACCTTTCAGTATTATACGGATACTCAAACACACAATGCTGGTACATTTTAAAATCATGCTATAGAACCATGAACATATTCTATAGATGGAGCAGTAAAACTCTCCTGCATTGTTCCAGAGCTGATGGAACCAGGTTCTGCAGAATGTTACTGAAAGTTCCAGGTTCCCGCCTGTAGGTTGGTTGACATTACAAACCAGGCAGCGATCCTCTGCACCATCTCAAGTTTCTTGACATGTTTTGTTTCAGTTTTGATACCACAGAGATGAGATTCTTAGTGATGTTCCAATCAAAGTCATTCCCATACAGAGTTTACAGGATCTGTTGAAGCTGTTTTCATAAGTAATTGGAAGTCGTTTGAAAGCCCGTATCATAATGTTAAAGAATGCATTTGAAATGGTATGTCTTCTATACATTTCCTTTTATGGGTGGATAGTGCACTCACCTTTCACCAAGACAGCTAGGGTTCCTGGTTTGACTTCAAAAGTTATTTGCAATTGGTCGAGTACCTGCCTGACCCCATGGGGTTTTAGCTCACCAGGTCCAAAGGACCAAGGTTAGCTTATGCCATACCGTAGCCTCCGTCCGTCAACAATTTCTTTAAACAACTTCTTCTTCTTCTTAACCACTGATTGGAATTTAACTAAATTTGACTGGAAGCATCCCTAGGTGGTGGAGATTCAAAATTGTACAAATGGTGGGGCTAACCCCCCAGGGGGCTGAGGGGCGAGGCAATTTGGCTATATTGCTTCAAGTGATTTGGCTGTATTTGGATATTAATCGTATATAATCAAAAGCATTCATGGGAAGTTGATTACTTGGAAATGGTTGAGATCCCCACCATGTAACCATATATACAATTGCTGAATACAAAGAGAAGAATGCACATTTGCTTCCAGGATGGCCCTATGGTCTGGCCCCACCCTTGGAGACATAATCCCTGGGCCATAACTTTAAAACGGTTGAGATCCCCACCCCAAAACTATATATACAAATGCTGGGCATAAAGAGACGAATTGGAATGCAGTCATGATATTAGAATAGACCCTGGGTTCTGACCAAACCCCTAGGGACCTTGTTTTTAGCTCACCTGCCCAAAGGGCAAGTGAGCTTATGCCGTGGTGCGTTGTCCGGCATCAATATTTTACTTTAAACAACATCTTCTCAATAACCAAAAGGCCTAGGGTGATGATATTGGGCCTGTAGCATGCTGGGATGAAGGGCTACCAAGTTTGTTCAAATTAATAACCTTGAACCACTTTCAAGGTCACAGGGGTCAAATATCTTTAAATCTTCAAACAACTTCTTTTCAATAACCAAGAGGCCTAGGATCATGATATTGGCCAGTAACATGCTGGGATGAAAGACTACCAAGTTTGTTCAAATGAATGACTGACATATATTCAAGGTCACAGGGGTCAAATATGTTTAAATCTTTAAATGACTTGTTCTGTATAACCAAAAGGTCCAGGGTACTGATATTTTCCCAGTAGCATGCTGGGTTGGAAGACTATAAAATCTGTTCAATCTTATGTCCTTGTTCGACATTCAAGGTCATATGTTTAAATCTTTTAATAGGTTTTGATGAATCAAACACTGATATTCTGTAGCTGTATTTTAGTCCACTTTTAAGATTACAACTGTGAGATTAATACCAGGTGAGCGATTTAGGCCTATTGGGCCTCTTGTATAGTCACAGCTTGGAAACAGTTCAGATCCCCACTCATAACCATATATACAATTGCTGAGTATAAAGAGATGAATCCACATATGCTTCCAGGATGGTCTTTGGGACTGCCCCGCCCTTGGAGACTTAACCCCTGGGTCATAACTTTGAAATGGTTAAGATCCCCACCCCAAAACTATATATACAATTGTTGGGCATAAAGAGACGAATGCAGTCATGATATTAGAATTGACTCCAGGGTCTGACCCACCCTTGCAGACTTAACCCCTGGGTCATAACATTGAAACGGTTGAGATCCCCACCCCAAAACTATATATACAAATGCTGGGCAAAAAGAGACAAATGCAGTCATGATATTAGAATTGACCCCAGGGGTCTGGCCACAACCCTAGGGACCTAGTTTCTGAGTGACAGCTTGGAAACAGTTGAGATCCCCACCCCATAACCATACATAAAATTGCTGGGCATGAAAAATCTAATACAGATATGCTACAAGGATTGGCCTTTGGGTCTGGCATATTCCCTTGGATCTCATTTGGAGAATAGTTTGCCATGATTGCTTAGATATCCAGGTGAGCGATACAGGCCCTCTGGGCCTCTTGTTCTCTTTATACTCCAGTTTATTCCCAAATTAAGACCCCTGTGTACTACAACGGGCCAACCAGAGTGATAAATATATATAGGTATATAACATTTAGAACAAACATTCTTTGTTGCAGATTACTAAATCACACTGGCAAGTCTTATCAGAAAAGCAGTAGGTGGCAGCATGAAGTACATACTAGTGACAGGAGGTGTCATTAGTGGTATCGGCAAAGGGGTCATCGCCAGCAGTCTCGGGGTCATCCTCAAATCCTGTGGCATCAGGGTCACCTCCATCAAAATTGACCCCTACATCAACATTGATGCAGGCACATTTTCACCTTATGAACACGGTAATTTGCATATTAATTGAAGTCTTTGCTTAAAATCCTAATTTTCTTAATTATTTCGTACCTTCAGCAGCTAGTAGACTTGGTTTTCATGCACATTTTTTCCACAGGATTTCTGGTCTGATTTTATATGGTAAAATCTGATAAAACCATTGAAGTTAAAATTTGAAATAGTCTAATGATGTACTACCAAACTGCAAGAGACATAGATTCTGTGATAAGGGGATTAAATAAGGTCCAGGTCAGCTGTATTGCTATACCATTATATCGTTTTTAAGCTATTGTCGTGAGTAATTTGGGGATTTTTATTTTTGGCTTAAACTGTAATTTTAAATACTCGTTATGATGTTACGGTTACAAACGATCACATTTGTATTCCTGTACAAACATATTTCATCATGGATTGTTGCAAAGTGAAAATGATCTATTGGATATCTATTTCAGGAGAGGTGTTTGTATTGGATGACGGTGGAGAGGTCGATTTAGATCTCGGTAATTATGAACGCTTCATGGATATCAAACTTCACCGTGACAACAACATCACCACAGGAAAAATCTACCAACATGTCATCAACAGGGAAAGAAGGGGAGACTACCTAGGAAAGACTGTTCAAGGTGAGGATTACTATAATTATTGCTCTACGAAGTAAGGAGAAGTATATATCAGTCACTTTGTCTTCTGTGTAGTCAGGGTTTGGGGACAAGTGTCAAATCATTGAAATGCTTGTCAGGACAGGGCCCACATTCTTTTAAAGGATAAATTTTTTTCTTTGTGAAAATTCACAAATACTTTTATCATGCCCAGACAGTATGTCACATAACACACTCAGGTCCATTCCTAAAGGTCAAGGTTACGGCAAGGGATCAACCTTTAAATCATTGTAACACTTGTCCAGTTGTTTAATTATTTTAACGCTTGTCTAGACGCTATCTGGCTGAACCCATGTTGATATAACATCAGGTATATGTTGTATACCCTGAACAGACCATGTTGATATGACATCAGGTATATGTTGTATACCCTGAACAGACCATGTTGATATAACATCAGGTATACGTTGTATACCCTGAACAGACCATGTTGATATGACATCAGGTATATGTTGTATACCCTGAACAGACCATGTTGATATGACATCAGGTATACGTTGTATACCCTGAACAGACCATGTTGCTATAACATCAGGTATATGTTGTATACCCTGAACAGACCATGTTGATATGACATCAGGTATATGTTGTATACCCTGAACAGACCATGTTGCTATAACATCAGGTATATTTATTGGGTGGGGCCAATAAAATGCATTACTTGGAAATGGTTGAGATCCCCACCATATAACCATATATACAATTGCTGAGTATAAAGAGAAGAATGCACATTTGCTTCCAGGATGTCCCTAGGGTCTGGCCCCACCCTTGGAGACAAAGTCCCTGGGCCATAACTTTAAAACGGTTGAGATCCCCACCCCAAAACTATATATACAAATGCTGGGCATAAAGAGACGAATGCAATCATGATATCAGAATAGACCCTGGGGTCTGACCGAACCCCTAGGGACCTAGTTTCTTAGTCACAGCTTGGAAACAGTTGAGAGCCCCACCCTATAACCGTATATATACAATTGCTGAGTATAAAGAGATGATTGCACATATGCTTCCAGGTTGGCCTTGGGGACTGCCCCACCCTTGGAGACTTAACCCCTGGGTCATAACTTTGAAATGGTTAATATCCCCACCCCAAAACTATATATACAATTGTTGGGCATAAAGAGACGAATGCAGTCATGACATTAGAATTGATCCCAGGGTCTGCCCCACCCTTGCAGACTTGGCCCCTGGGTCATAACTTTGAAACGGTTGAGATCCCCACCCCAAAACTATATATACAAATGCTTGGCAAAAAGAGACAAATGCAGTCACGATATTAGAATCGATCCTGGGGTCTGGCCACAACTCTAGGGACCTAGTTTCTGAGTCAAAGCTTGGAAACAGTTGAGATCCCCACCCCATAACCATACATAAAATTTCTGGGCATGAAAAATCTAATATAGCTATGCTACAAGGATTGGCCTTAGGGTCTGGCATATTCCCTTGATCTCATTTTGAGAATAGTTTGCCATGATTGCTTAGGTATCCAGGTGAGCGATACAGGCCCTCTGGGCTTCTTGTATTAACGCTTATCTAGATGCTATCTGGCTGAACCCATGTTGATATGACATCAGGTATACGTTGTATACCCTGAACAGACCATCAGTTGTGTATGACTCATATCAAAGTTTAGCATTTTAATTCTGAGATATTTAAATGTGTGTATGTATACACATATTTATATATATAAGCTACATCTTAGATGTTTCAATTATTTTCTTTATCTCTGATGCTTCAATATAGCATTCTTCAAGTTATTGTGTTGTTGACACTGTTTCATTTGTCAAAAGTAATTTGAAATATTCCCATTATATATAATTACTCTAGGAAAAAAATGTAAGAAGGATATGAAGGTTTCGTTTTTTATCCCCCGCTTTTACCGAAACGGGGGATATTAATATGGGTCTGTCCGTCTGTCTGTCTGTCACACTTCGTTTCCGTGCAATAACTACAACAAATATTAACCGATTTTCTTCAAACTTGGTCACATGGTTAAATGCCTTAAGGGCTCCGCCAAGTTTGATGACCACATTCAGCGGACCCCATTTGGCAAAGTTATGGCCCCTTTGAATAATGAAAAAAGTCATTATCTGCTAGGTTTTGTTTCTGTGCATTAACTGTAACAAATGTTAACTGATTTTCTTCAAACTTGGTTCGATTTTGATGAAAATTGGTACATAGAGATATTAGGGAACTGAGAATTCAACTGCATCGGTTTCGTTGCCAAAGCTACCACACAGATGCTTCTGATTGGTCAAAATTTAGATATTGTTAGATTTTGATGAAAATTTGTATATATAGGGATATTAGGAGACTGCCAATAAAACCGCATTAGTTTCGTTACCATAGCAACCACACAGAAGCTTCTGATTGTTCGAAGTTTCGATATTGTTCGATTTTGATGAAAATTGGTATATAGGGATATTAGGGGACTGTGAATTCAACCGCATAGGTTTCGTTGCCATAGCAACCACACAAAGACTTCTGATTGGTTGCAATTTAGAGATTTCGTTATTTTTATGAAAATTTGTATATAGGGGTATTATAGGACTGCAAATTCAATCGCATACATTCCGTTGCCATAGCAACTACACAGAGGATTCTGATTGGTTGCAATTTAGAAATTGCTCAATTTCACTCCAATTTGATATGTACATTGTAGGTGTACTATGGCAATGCGATCCTTTTCTGATGCATCTTTGCGACTATGGGGGCAGTTTAGGGGACATCTGTTATGGTCCCCCATTACAATTAGTGCTTGTTGCTGTAGATACTATTAAGATGTTTCAACCAAATTCCTTATGCACATTCAACTCATGCTAAGTTTGCCAAACAATGTGATTTGTGCATATTTATGGATAATCAATGAGTTATAGGGCTTTTTTTTGTCACCCCTGGGGGAACCCCAGTGGGGACTATTAACTTTGGTTTCAGTCCCAGATTTTGACCTCTGTTAGGAGGGCTGTTGTGTATCTTGCTTCTGTCGGAACATATCAGGCGCTAATTACATGCTCTTGGATAACTCAGATATTGGTTTCCTTTTTAAACAGGAATAGCATAAAACCTGAAGGCGTTCCAAATTACCCACGTGAATTACATATAACCTAAAGATGTTCCGAGTATGAATCAGGCACCTTTGGGGTTCTCGAAGGGGTAAACTGTCGTATCATAAATTGCTATTGACTGATTTAGATATTTTATGTCTGACCAACGACTACCGTTAATATTTGCGTATAGTGCGCACTTTTTTAAGGGAAAATGAAGTGTCAAGAAAGGGGTGTACACGATACTCAAGAACAATCCAAAACCAGTCCTTGGTCGCGACCATTTCTCGTAATTTTTTCGAGGATTTTCGGAAATGTTTTGATATATGCTAACAGCAATACAACTGCTGAATTTCGTTGAATAATACCTGATTGCATTGCCAATTTAACAATTACGAAAAGTTGCAAGTTTAATTCATATAATACTATAGAATCGGATGAATAAACTCGAGTAAAGTAGGCTCAACTTTTCAGGACGTTACGCTGTGAATTGATAAATACCACGTATCGGGGAAACATAGCGAAGAATTCCATCGGATTTATTACTCTGTGGTTAAAATGTCGTTCTTGGGTAAAATCTTGCTGAACTATTCAATCTTGTCCGTAGGAATGTGTCAAAACGACACGGGTAAAGTGGCGAAGTTAGCAAGTTTGTGTACGGCAAAGAGTCGAAGTTGCGTGATACTATTAACCATCAGGAATTTACAAAGTGACATCCATGCGAATTGAACCGATAATGATAAAAGTTTGAGTTTGAAAATTAAATATCAAGGGGTTCAAAACAGCCAAATACATTCCGATCATTTCTTTTCGAAGGAGAATTGCTGATATCACAATTGTTTGGTGTTCTTCATGTCTTGCGAATTCGGCTGTTGGCGTGTCCTCGTCGGAGTGACTGCCTTTAAGCGTACATAACACATTCTGCCGATATCGATGACCGATTCAGTCGGATTTGCAGACGATCAGAAAACTACTTGGAAAAGTGTATTGTATAACAAAAAATAGAAGATTTATCCGTATATAAGATTGAATCTTTTCTGAAACTTATTGTTGTGAAAACAACATCGTTATATTCCAATTACCTGTTCTGCCCATGCCAGGTGACAGTGCCAGCGCAGATCTCCCCGTGTCGGTCAACGCTAACGTTATATTTGCGCCATGCTTTCCTATTAAATCCCTGTGTTGCCATGGCTACCTGAACAGCATGTATTTACACCTGGTAATTGTTTACTATTTTGATTGACAGGGGGAAATATATCCGTTGTAGCTTGGTCAATGATTTATCGGAAATGATCATACAGAATGATGGGGTGACTTTCATGTCATTCTGACATATTTCTAGTTTTCTTCAAGTTTCAAGCTATACATTATGTCTTGACAGCACGATACTCGCATTTTTAGGTCACCTGAGACAAAGTCTCAAGTGACCTATTGCGATCGCCTTTTGTCCGTCGTCGTCCGTCCGTAAACAATTTACATTTTCGACTTCTTCTCCAAAACCCCTGAACCAATTTCAATGAAATTTTGCAGGGACCTTCCATGGACAAAGGTCAACAAAAA